TGAAAAAAAAGAGAGATTCCAGCTAGCGGAAAATTCACGAAGTGCTCGCTGCTCGCCATCTGTATTTTCTCAAGTGCTCGCTGCTCGCAAGACAAATTTGATTACTCCTCGTGCTAGCGAAGATAAACGCACTGTTCGCACGTTCGCAAAAACCATTCGATACTCTTCGATCAAGGACATTTCGCTCGAAACACCTTTCAAAGGTGATCTTTGGCGTTTAAGCACATGCATCGGTAGACTGAAGGTAGAACGGTGTTTTCTTTCTTTCAAGTTAGCCAGGGAGAACGGGGAGAGACGTTTTAGACTAGAAGAGACTGGGACGAGACATGGCGCGGTACTTACGAGGAGACCTCCTCATGAATGCCGCGCCCATGTCTCGTCCCAGTCCCTTCTAACCTGAAACGAGATCTCGACTTACTTCGAGAGGAAAACAGACTGTCAGCGGTGTAAACTCGGGTTGTAACTCGACATGAATCGAATCGCACGCTTGCATAGCGACTCATTGTTCGTGGTGACTATCTGATTCACTCTATCTGTCGTTTACTTCGTTTTAATTTTTGTTGTTGCTGATTCCAAGGCAAACAAGACTTACAACACCATTTAGTGTGATAACAACATAGCAAAACATAACAGATGTAATTTAATCAGAGCTGATTCGGTCATTTACCAAAGGAGGTCGCCTACAGAAGCTTTTCAGTGCAACTAATAACGAAGCGCGCGAAGTCTAAAAGAGGAATGCAAATTATTGAAACCCCGCGAGAGTCAGACAACATTAGCGTGTTCTGAGAGAAATAGGAGGAAATTGAAGGCCAAATTTTCGTTTTAAAAATTGTTTAAGGAACACTTGCTTAGGTGCTTGAAAAAGCGTCAAATTTTCCACCATTCCGTTTTGTTTGTCTAAGTTTGTCTGAGTTATGACGTCACTCGCGTGCTTCGCTATTGAGTCGGCTCACTTGGAACTAAGCTAACCAATCAGAACTTTCGTTGAAAACAAATGATGGTTACCTTTTCGATAAAGGAACCAATGACGTGAAAGAGTGCAAACAACAGTTCTACAGCAATGTTTGAGACCAACAAAGTTGGCACAAAGCTGCGGACCTCGCACCGGTATGTTTTTTTTCCAAAAAAAAATTGAAAATAACAAAACGATGCCCAACTTACCAGAAAATATACTTACACCCGGACATTTCTTGTCTTCCTCCATCTAGATCTAATCGGCGTATGACTTACATTAGAGCTGGGGGAGAGTGCTCCCAGAAAAAATGAGTGGGGGTGTGTGGCCCGCTTTCCAAAACCCTTACCCTATTTAAGACCAAAATCTGTGATTTTTCCTACCCTGTTAATGATCTAACCAAAAATTTAATACCCTATTAAAAGAACTGACCATAATTAAATCAATACCCTGTCTCAGACGTGTTTTATAACTAGTTTCCTAGTTCAGACCGATGTTGAAGGGCTTTTGTTGATGGTCTTGTTGATATTAGAGTAAGTAAGTGAACTGAATCTTCAAAGCTAGCTTTCGAAAACCGCAAACACTGGTTCAAAATATCGGAATAAAAAAAATTAATAGTCACATCTTTAATTTGTTACGTCACGTTTGGATTCTTTTAGAAAATGGCAGCAAAGTTGCGAAGGTTTAGTCGAAGATTCATAAAGGATAGACGAAACAGAGTTTCTAGCCTAGACAACATGCTGGAAGAAAGAAACCCATCAACGGCAGGCATAAAC